GATCACATAGTAAATAAGTGGCAGAGCCAGGATTCCACCTATTCCACTTGACCCTAAGACCCACGTTCCTTGCACCCTAGCAGGTGTAGATAGGATGAGTTGAGAATGGCATCAAAATTTAAGAACTTTGTATCTACATTTATCATGTCCAATTAATTTGATTGTAGATTTGGAGGTTAAGACATGTAGTCATGATAGATGTCACTTGGGTTTTTTTGTTTTGTTTTTGTTTTTAACTACGAAAGCCTTGAGGGGAGGCATCACTCATTGCATCTGGTCTTAACTGTAAACCAAGTTCACAGTAATTGAAGGCCGTAGGATATCGGCCATTTTGCTAATTCATGACTACTATTAATATAATCTAGGTTTTCTAAATATTCCTTGAAAAAAACTTCAGTTCAATATTTCTTTTCAAGATTTCTATCACAGTTTTTCTGTGTGCTTCAGTCATATCAACAAGGGAGAATGAGGCTTCTTAGCATTGCATTTCTCAAGTAGCCTTTCTGTTTTCTTGAACAGTCACAAAGTTCCCAGTATTTAGAAACTATTGCTTTATATTCACTATATTCATGTGCATGCATCTCTTGGTACAGTAGAGTTTATTCTTAGCTATAGAACATTATCTTTCTCTCTAAAACCTAAGCCCAGATCCATAAACATGAGACTGTGAACACACAGGGACCATTCTGGTCATTTGAGCCCAGTATGGCATGAGATTCTTCTGGCAAAGAAGCCTGGCTGCATGGTGCAGCATTATCACACTTGGGCTGGGAAAAGCTATCTAGCATACAAAATTTCCTCTTTGTTCCAGTTTAATTACTGACATGGCCAGCATTTATATTTTAGGATATTTGTTTGTGAAACCTTCCTTTATGGGTTGAATAGTATCTGTCTGTCCACAAAGAGTCACATTATGAAGATTTAAGGGGAAAATATAATAATAATAGCTACCCATTTTTGAATTACTACCTCTGTGCCTATTACCTTACTAGATGCTTTATCTACTTTATTGCGGTCCTTCCATATATCCTGCAGGGTGGTTATTTCCCCATTTTGCAGATAAAGATACTAAATGTCAGAGAGGTGAATTAATTTGCTAGTAAAGTTTAACTTCAAGGCCCTTGCTTTTGGCTCTTCTTTATTGTCCAAAACAGTGATTCTGTGAAGGAGACTATAGAATTAGTTGCTTCAAATGTTTAAGAAGAACTTTTTGACACTATAATTTAGTGCTGTTCTGGAGCATTTTAATTGCTCTGGCCACTATTCTGTGTCTGCCACTACTGTCTTAATATTCTTCATAAATTCTTTATTGTAGACCAAGGAGGAAAAATGAAACCTTTGGTTTCAAAATGCTTTTTAGGTGTATCTCAAGTATCAGTGCCTAGCTACCTTGTCATACTTGTCACTGCATTTTTTGGCTTAGAGATTAATTTCTTTCATGTCCAGCTGGATGGGTAGTTGAAGACAGATGTTCTAGATTTGAGCATGGTGTAGATCAATGCTATCCAATAGAACTTTCTGTAATGAAGGAAATGTCCTATATCTGTGTTGTCCAATATGATAGCCACTAGTTACTTGGGGCTATCAAGTGCTTGAAATGTGGCTGGTGCAACTGAGGAGCTGAACTCTTAATTTTATCTAACTTTGATTAATTTAAATGCAAATAAAAAATAGCCACATGTTGCTGGTGGCTACTGTATTGGACCAGCAGCACAGTTTGAGGTTGTAAAGTGATGCTTGTTTTTGATCAGTAATGATAAAATTTGGAGAAATTCAGTAATTGGTAGTTTAAAAGTTGCTGATTTGTTTTACAGCAACATTAAATTTAGCATATGTTTATCTTAAAGCCGTGGGACCAAACAGAGTAGAAAGTTTGTGTTTTCAAAGCACTTTTTGATCATTTATGATCTCATTTGATGACTATTTCAAGTATAATATTATTTTTAAGACTTGTGTTTGGTAGTGGATCACAGAAGAAAGGCAGAATTCTGAACAAAAACCATTTGCACCTTCCTTGTGAAGGGTCTCCTCCTGTTGAAATGGACACCATTCTGGGTGTTGGTGCTCAGGTTGCAGCATGAGGGCCTGTTCAAGAACCCATGTACTGTTTGTCTCTGTTCCTCGACTAAGACCAGAGAATTTTCTCTCTCCCCTCATCAGAATGTCCATTAATTTAATTTAATTTTATTATTATTATTTTTATTAAGGTGTCACTGATATACAGTCTTATGCTCAGGTTTCGCATGAGCAAACATTGTGGTTACTACATTCCCCCCTATTACCAAGTCCCCACCATATACTGCATTACAGTCACTGTCCGTCAGCATTGTAAGGTGCTATAGAGTCAACTACTTCACTTCTCTGTGCTATACTGCCTTCCCCGTGTCCCCCTCCCCCCACCATATTATGTGCGCTAATCATTCCATTAATTTTATTTTTCAGGTCTAAAGAGAGGTAAGTAGAGGCAATTTCTAAACTTAGCCAGGGAGCTATAGCAATTTGATAACCAACAAAAAAATAGTTTTCCTTTCCAGTATTCCAAAATAGGTCTTGAGGGCTTTGATTTTAGTTCTTTGTTTTGGAAAATAGAACCCAGAACTCATAAATGGTTCTCAGTAAGATTAGTTTTTAAATTGATATGTGCCTTCTAAAGAAACTTTTGATGAAATTAAATAATAGATTTTATATTATATTTTGAAGAAAAAATTGTTACCTTGGAGTCTTGATACATACATTTGGTTTCATTTTGATTGTATGGTTTTATGAAATAATTTTTAAAATACAGATTTTTTAATTTATGTGTCACTTACGGTACTAAGCATATTTTTTCTCTGACATTTTAGTTGTAAAATGCTCCTCTCCTTTCTACCAGAGCTCACAACTAATCAACTTTGGATGCTTTTGATTTTTCTGACTGCTAGGGCATTGAATGAAGTTCCCTGTAGTGAGAAAAGAGAGCGCATGGGACTCGTGACTTTATGTACTCCAACAATAGAGCTTTTAAGACATTGGAGGTGGTTAAAAAAGCTAGAAGTAGCTCTTATACATGGCATTGCTGTGTTGCCTTTTTTTTGTATTTTCAGAGCTGCCAGGAGTGCATCAGGCCTGTAATTTCCTGTTCTCTGAATCCCCCATCTTTCTGCAGCTCCAAGCTTTGTGTCCCACAGCCTGTGACTCTGTGCTAACAAATCGCTATTGTCCAGTGGGGCGAATGGTGGCTGGAACTAAAGAATTGCTGTCTGGTTTCTATTCAAATCCAGGTAGTGAGATATATGAATGGACTTTTCGAATCGTCATGTGAATAACGTCTGCTTGGCATGAAGGCTCAGAACCATGCTGGACAGATTAACTCCTAGGCTGACCACTAACATCCTTTGTGGTAGGAGGTAGAAACATTTCCAAGCATCATTTTATTCATACTTAGTTTTCCATTTCATCATCCAAAAGTAGGGTTACCATTCAAGTATTTGGCTAACTTTTTTCTCAAGTTCAGTGTTTCTGTTGATAATATGGAGGTTTGGGAAGATGCTAAGTTATTTTTCACTTAGACCACTGTATTATTTTCTGTCAAAAGTTTTCTACCTTATATTTATTATGGCATATACTTATCTTTATAGCATACATGCAAAAAACAGAGAGAGAGAGAGAGAGAGAGAGAGAGAGAGAGAGAGAGAGCTGCTTTTCCAAGAAACCAACCCTTTAAAATGCTTTCCAACCAACGAAGGGAGAAAATCCTCCTTTTCTTCAAAGTATTCTACTTACTTGCATTTTTTTTCTCCAAAAGTCCAAATTTATAGAAAGAAAATAGAAGCAACTTCAAACGTATTACATTAACCAAATAAACAAGCCTCCTTCAAATTAGGAACCAACTTAAGTACTTTTAAGGATAGCAGATCAGGATTTTTAAAATCAGATTTGTAAAATAGACTTTAATTCATAATTCTCATTTATCCTTGGAAAATTATTTTTTTTCTTTCTCCTGTATACCTGAAAAAAAAAATGTCTACAGGCTTGAAGGGCCATGTTTTTTTACATTCCTTCCATATCACAGGTACTATGAAATGGAGAGCCTTTTATGTTTCTTTTTGTCTTAAACTCAGACAGCTTTGTAAGCAGTAGTGTGTAGATTACAAGAGTTAGACAAAAGCAGGCGCGACTGAGAAGAGTTGGGGGGGGGTAGCTTGGGGCACTTCCTGTCACTCAACACATTCCAGATCACTAAAAAATTTCCACACCCTCTGCATTCCCTCTTGCCCACCCCAGATCCCAGTATTTTCTGATTCCATATGTTGTGGTATTTATCACACTCCTTTCTATCACTGGGCTCTGGCAAGACCTCTTCAGAGGAGATGCATTCCTTTAGATTGCACAAAGCATAGCTGGGAAAATGGCTGGCAGTTTCAGAATCTAGTCACGATCGCACGCATGAGCACCTCATACATCCATGCCCCTTTCCCCCCCTCCCACCCCTGCAGCTGGCTGACCTGTCTCACCCACTGCTGGCCTATCGAACGGCCAGGACTGTCTGGTTTTGGCTCATGCCTTTGTCCATGTCTGGCTTAGTTCCTCTCTGTCTACGCTTGCCTCTACCCCCACCGCCCCAGGCGGCACAAGTGTTTGGCCACACAAAACTACAGATAGAAAAGGTGGTAAAAACTTCAAACTTTTTTCTCCAACAGTTTATTTTTTGTGAATTTTCCCCTTCTTTAAAGGCTCTTTTAAGAAAACGAATGCTAAATTAATTCTTTAAAGGCAAAGAATGCAAAGCAACCTTTGTGTTCCTTATAATAACTGACTTCATAACTCTCCAGCTGCGTTATGGGGTGTGTATAAAAAGCTTCTGTTCTGAGAACAAAGGAGCACGTGCAGAAATGAGACTTAAAAATCCACTGACAGTATTTCACTACACAAATTATTTAAAAGATTTTAGTCAAGCCTCTCAACAGATTCAATGTTAAAATGGTTTTTAGTTAAAAAAAAAAAAATTTGAAAGTGCTTACCCAGTAAAAGAACCGAAGTAGTCCTGAACTGTTACGTAAGACTTTTTACAGTTGGATCTTTGTCAAAAGGGGGTGGGGGTGATGGGAGAAGGCAGCAGCAACAATCAAAAAAGTTCGAGCTGCTGTGGCTAGAGGACAACTTCTGTGTTTCCAAATAGGATTCTTGCTGTAGAAATGGAACTTGCAGCCAGCACAGCATCCTGTCCCGGTAGAGAAATGAGTTTGTCAGTAAAAAAAATTAGGTACTGGAACCCAGGCTAGACGAGGTATTGAACCGCGCCAGATTTCCTTGCAGCCCTGTCTGCTCAGCTCGCATTGAACTATATATGACCCAGATGATGGACAGAAGCACATTCAGTCATGTGCACACTGGAAGAAAGCGGATTTGCTGGTCTTTGGCAGTGCAGGGGTTTGTCTTCTGATTGGGCTGTGCCCTGATCAGTGAAATGTGAAGCCCTCGCCATTCAGAGGCCGTAATTCAGGACTGGCAGTTTGAGTGTCTGGCTGCTTCTAGTCACTGAGAGAGACTGACTTTGAAGGTGTTGTTTTTGTTTGGTGGCATTACCTACCCAGAGGTTGCTTACACCTATGTAGTAGTGTCAGGAATAATGCTAGTCTTTCTGAAATGCAAGAAGGCAGCTGACTTTGCCTGAATCCTGTCATCTTACTGTAGATGAACTTGGCTCTAACCATAACTGATTATTTGATTTGGGAATTTTTGTGATCCTAACCAAGTCTCATGTCCAGACCACACCCTGGCCTTGATTTTATGGGTTTGATAAGGTAAAAACAAAGGTGGTATTTGACTTTGAAGCTTCCTAGGTGATGTAAATTGATCTTAATAAAGATTGGATGGATGGATGGGCAGCAGAGAAGTTAAGTTTGGGATTCTGGAGTCTGAACATTTTTGAACTAGGAGGAAACTCTCTCTTATTATTCCTGTTTGTGTAGCTGTTACTCTCATCCCAGTCTTTAGTCACATATGGGACTGCTTGGGGGAAGCTACCAAAGTATACACCCCACTCAGCTGTGACATTGTTTTTAATCATCTAAGACAGTCACAGTCTACTCTCTCTAGTCTGTCTAAACTAGAGTCCTTGGGATTTATTTCCCATCTTCCTGGGCCACTAGGAAACCAGGTCATTATATATGACTGTCAGTTGTTGTATTTTTGTTTAATATATGAAAGCTGCTTTGTTTAATGCAAATTAACACAAAAAAAATTAAAGCAGTACAGTTGTATTATGAGACCTTGGTACTGATGGGAAATCTACATGGACCAATAATTTTTTCTGGGGACTTCTTGCCTCTTTAGGAGTTAGCTTATATAATCCTAAACTGGCACTTAAACATACAAATACTAGGTTTACTTTCTGCCTCTCTTAGGTTTGTGGAAATAGACTCATATTCAATGTATAGCATCTGCTTAATTAGCTGTATGTTCTGGTTTTGGATGTTTGCGTACTTGTAATTTCCTAGGTGTTGATGGCATGACACAGCCTTGTATCTATGAGGGCTGACCTGGAATTCTCTTGTCAACCTGGGAAAAGCTGTGTTGATAGGCTACCACATAAAAGAATGATCAAAGTCAGAGAAGAGGGATGCATGCTCTCTTTCTTCTGTAAGCCGCAGGACAATCCATCTTTTTAAAAATATTGTGGTAAAATGTACATACAATAAAACTACCGTTTTAGCCTTTTTAAGTTATACAGTTCTATAGCATTAGGTACATTCACATTGTTGTGCATTCACTGCCATCATCACTACCATTCACCTCCAGAGCCTTTTCTTCTTTTTTACCCAACTGAAATTCTGTTCCTATTCCTCCCTACATGAACTTTCTATTCCTCCCTACCTCCAGCCCTGGCAACCACCATTCTACTTTCTGACTCTGAATTGACTACTCAGAATACCTTATATGAGTGGAATCATAAATGATGTATCTTTTTGTGACTGGGTTATTTTACTTAGCATAATGTCCTCTAGGCTCATGCATGTTGTAACAGATGTCAGAATTCCCTTCCTTTTTAAGGCCAAATAATACTCCATTGTATGTACGTACATTCCACATTCTGTTTATCCTTTCTTCTGTGAGGGACACTTAAGTTGCTTCCACATTTTGACAATCATTCTTGCCCATTCTTCTTAAAATCTTGTAAGGGCATCTTTATAGAGCTACTCTGACCAATTTCAGAAGCGATTTCATTTTATAAGTTGGACGGTTTTGATGTGCCTTTTAACTCTAGAGACCAACTAGGCCCAGTATGAGGTTTGCTAGAAAAGGGCAGATTGTTTTCATTCAGCCTTCCTGGCTGAGACTTAATATATACTACACTGCTAATAATTTTTTTTTTGTTCTTATTGTTAATGGGTTTATCTTTGCTATTACACTGTGAGCTCTTCCTAGGCAGGGACTGTAGCCAATTCATTTTGAATTGTGCCTGTGTGTCTCTCTCTTTTTTTTTTTTTTTTAATTAAAGTATCATTGATTTTAAATCTTATGAAGGCTTCACATGAACAACATTGTGGCTTCAACATTCACCCATGTCATCAAATCTTCATCACCCCGTATTGCAGTCACTATCTATCAGCGTAGTAAGATGCTATTGAGGCATCACTTATCTTCTCCATGCTGTACTGCCTTCCCTGTGACCTACCTGTATTGTGACTGCAAATTATAGTGCCCCTTAATCCCCTTCTCCCTCTCCACTCATCCTCCCCAATCCCTCCCCTTTGGTAACCAGTCCCTTTGGTAACTAGTCCCTTCTCAGAGTCGTGAGTCTGCTGCTATTTTGGTCCTTCAGTTTTGCTTTGTTTTTATACTTCACAAATGTACCTCTTGTATAGGCACAGTACCTATAACAAAGTAGACATCAATAAATTATGGTTGGAAAAAATGTGAACGAATGAATAACAATAAAATAGCTAACTTTTACTATGTACCAGACAATATAACAATATTTTATGTACATTAGTTTATTCAATCTCTAAGGCAGCCCTGTAAGTACTGTTATCTTCATTTAGTAGATGAGGAAACTTGTTCAATGGCTTACAGCATGTAAAACATATAATTGGGATTTGAACCCTTGTCTTTCTTGCATCCAGAGCCATTATGCTAGAGGCAGACTTCATAGTGAGGTGATGGTCAGTGAGTTTGGAAGCAGGAGATTTAGCCTAATCATTAATTCCAAGTCAAATATTCTTTCTTTGGGCATCAGGAGCTATAGCCCTATGATAAATGCAGTTCATGAATGGATACTCAGAGGAAAGTTTGATATATTAGTACCTGGACCTTTTATAGATCTTCAGCTGAACAACAACTGTTGAACTCAGTTCACAGATATTCCTGTGTATGTAAATTCTCTTTCTTATTTTTTTTTCTTATTATTTTGAAAGTGTACTTAAATGGAATGCTATGGAATGGATGCATTGATGTTCATTCATTTGTTCATTTGGCTGATACACATCTATATACATATATGTATACAGATGTGTGTGTGTGTGTGTGTGTGTGTGTGTGTGTGTGTGTGTGAATAACTGATACTGTTCTAGGTGCTAAGGAGAGGGTCAAGAAGAACGTAACAGGAAAGATTCTTTTGGACCTTATATTCTAGTGAGGAGACAAAAATAAGTTAAAGTAATACGAAGTAAAACAGGAAACTATTCTGTGAAGCAAATACAATAGGGTAACATGATGATGAAGAATGCCTTGGGGCTGGAGTAGGATGAGGGACTCCTACAATGAGGAAATAGGCAAGAAGCCTGGCATACAAAGCAGCTGAAAGGGTGATCTCGGCATTGGAACCAAGAGATGTAAGTTCTCTAAGATAAGATTGAGCTTGATATGTTTGAGGAGCAGAAAGGGTAGTGTGGCTAAAGTAGAGTAATTGCAGGTAGAAGATGATGTTAAAGAGGTGGGATGGGGCCCTGTCATGTAGGGCCTTGTAAACTGTGGTAAGAAATTGGGATTTGTTTCCAAGTGTATTTTTTCCGAAATGTAGGAAATCAGAAGGTTGTAAGCGAAAGGGTAGCTTATTCTGCAAGGCAAAGAAGTCTTTCTGTATAGTTCTTGTTTGTGTTTGGTCCCCTTGGGCCTCCTGACACCACATTTAACTGTAGTCCTTCTCAAAATGGGGACTTTGTCAAGGCTTTCACATGTTTAGTGGCCAGCTCTGGGTGTCCTAGCAGAACAGTTCTTTTGAACAGTTCTAGGGCTAATACTGGGTTTCATTGCTCCTTCCTCATCAGAGCAGGCTTGTCCAACAAGAGCTGCTTCTGGGCGTTTTCACATGTCTCTTGTCTGGATAGGGTTTTGGGTGCACGTTTTCTGTATTAGAATAAAATTCCTTCACTTCTTAATTAGGCCTGATCTCTCTGTGTCAGTAATTTAGAAAGATGTTTCCTTGGCAGATGATGATGGCTCACTGTTCCAGTTATATGAGGTACTTAAAGGCGTACTGATGGGAATCTGAAATTGACAAGTAAAGAACATTCCAAATATTCTTAAATAAGGTTGTATTAAAATGTTCTGTTTCTAGTATGGTTAATTGTTAACGTTTGGCCCACATTATTTTATTTTTTCAAATTCTCAAATACTCTGAAAAATACAAAAAAATAACATTACACATACCTATAGTCTCATTTTATGGATCAGTGGCTTCCAAATTCTTTTGACTGTAAGAAGGATATTCTATATTGAAATCCTTTATACACGTTTGTGTGTGTGTATGTATGTGTATATATGTGTATATGTGTGTGCATAGATATCTGTGTATTTCAAGCCACACTTTCATGAAATAGTGCTTGTCCTTATTACATTTAGTGTCATCTGATTTTTTTTTTTTTGAGAGGGCATCTCTCATATTTATTATCAAATGGTTGTTAACAACAATAAAATTCTGTATAGGGGACTCAATGCTCAATGCACAATCATTAATCCACCCCCAGCCTAATTCTCATCAGTCTCCAATCTTCTGAAGCATAACGAACAAGTTCTTACATGGTGAACAAATTCTTACATAGTGATTAAGTTCTTACATGGTGAACAGTACAAGGGCAGTTATCACAAAAACTTTTGGTTTTGATCACTCATTATGAACTATAAACAATCAGGTCAAATATGATTATTCGTTTGATTTTTATACTTGATTTATATGTGAATCCCACATTTATCCCTTTATTATTATTATTTTTAAATAAAATGCTGAAGTGGTAGGTAGATGCAAGATAAAGGTAGAAAACATAGTTTAGTGTTATAAGAGAGCAAATGTAGATGATCAGGTGTGTGCCTGT